TTGTTGCTGTAATTAGGACTATTGGTATGTCAAGTCCTAGAATAGTGCCTGGCAATTAGTAATTGTTCAATAAATATTAGCTGTAATAATAACTAGTTTTGTATTATTCTACTGAAAACTTAATGATCAGTGTTGGGTTTATTTTTTGTTTATTTTTTTAAAGATTTTATTTATTTAAGAGAGAGAGCACAAGCAGGGGGAGCAGCAGAGGGAGACGGAGAAGCAGGCTCTCCACTGATTAGGGAGCCTGACGTGGGGCTCTATCCCAGGACCCTGGGATCATGACCTGAGCTGAAGGCAGATGCTTAACTGACTGAGCCACCCAGGCACTCCTAGTGTTAGGTTTAATAGTAGAGAGTAGGTTTAATATAGAGAGACTCTATATTTAATGGCTTTCTGATTTTGACTTTAATAATGTAAATACTAATATATAGAATGTCTCCTTGCCTAAGTTAACGTACAATGTGGTGATAATAACTTCATAGCTTTGTTTGCTAATTTAGGGTAAGCAAATTTCATACTTAACCTAAACATACTTAACCTAAACTTTGCTAGTCAGGACTCTTTGAGTTTTGGTTTGTTTTGTTTTTAAGATTTATTTATTTATTTGAGCAAGCGAGCAGCGGGGAGGGGTAGAGGGAGAGGAAGAGAGAGAATCCCAAGCAGACTCCCTGCTAATGTGGGGCTTGATGCAGAGCTTGATCTCACAACCCTGCAATCATGACCTGAGCTGAAACCAAGAGTTGGACATTCAACTGACTGAGCCACGCGGACACCCCTCTTTGAATTTGTTTTTAATCAAGTGTCACATGATAACTCTGTAAAGCTGAGTGTCTAATCCAATCATTGCCCTTATCAGATATGGGAAATACTATGAAGTTATTTTTAATTCTTGAAAATGTAGAAAAGGCATTACTTTTCAGTGTAGAGCTCATCATCAGACTTTTGAAGCAAATTAGTAGGTTCTAGAACTGACTTATATTCAGCAGTTTGGAAATACCTTAATTGTCTTCTTACTGATTCTGTTCTGTATTAAATTTAGAATATATTACAGTATATTGATAGCTATTCCTTGTCAGCTTGGACTCAATCCATTTAATTACCCTAAATATCAGCAAATTATGCTCTCATAACTACATTGGTTAACATTGGTTGCCTGGCTAAACATATTAATAATGATACTGGAAAAATATTTTCATTTTATGATACTCAAGAAAAGTTTAAGAGCCTCTTCATGAGATTGCTAGTGAATTTCAGAATGTAATAAAAGTGACTTATGATTACTACCTATTGATTCTTAAAGGTTGGTGATTATTACAGAATTAAGTGCATAAGCTTTTAACAAAATTTAAAATTGTATCTATTTTGTCTTTTATTATAATTTTTTTTCCTGGCTTGTGGGACCTTTAGCAAAGGTACTATTTTACTATTGTATAGTAGCTTTTACCTGAACAATAAGTTATTTTGAGTTCCACATGCTTATATAATTTTGTGTTTTGATTCTGCCACATTTTTACATATTTGAACTGTTACAACATTTTCATTCATATATTGTGCCATAATGTATATTATTTTCTTTCTGTGAAAATATATATTTATCTCAACTGCTTTTATTTTCTCATTACCCTGTGACACTTGAAAGTGGTGTATTGTTTCAGTATCACATTCCATTTTCATGATGTCAAATCATGATGCCTTTCATTTGCAAATTATTAATGCAAAAGACAAGTTTTATATTTATATTTGCTAAAAAGGAAATAGCATGAACAGGTTTCCCAACAAATTGAAAGTTGAGTCATGTCACTTTAGGTGATTATGGACAATAATGTGAGTATAGATACGAAGGCAATATTCGGATCTAGGTGATTATTTAGATGATTCATAATATGCTTATATTAATCATATTTTTACTAGAATCAAAATGAAAACAGTTGTCAACATTTTGGAATAGAATTATAGACCTCCCAATAATTTATTTGTGGAGTCCAGTCTGAGAAACTATTGTACTTGGGGGGTGGTGCAGAGAAATTGAAGGATTTTGCTCTGAGGTTCCAAAACCCAGAGATGAATATTATTTTTTGTGTATCAGTTAGTAATTGAGTTCAGCTGTATATAATCAAATACTGCCAACAACAGTGGCTTAAGCAAGATCAGGGCCTTATCTTTCCTTATGTAACAAAGAATCCTAGATAGTTCAGAGTTGATGCAGTGGCTCTGTGATGTCAGCAGGGACCCAAGCTCTTTCTGGGTGTTCTCCCTCAACCTTAAGTTCTTATTTCATGTTCCCAATATGGCCTCTGGAGCTCCAGCCATCATGTCCTTATTCCAGACAGAAAGAAAGGGAAGGACAAAGGGAAAAAGGCAGAAGGCCAAAACCAGACGAGTTACTCAGTGACTTTTATTTACATATTTTTGGCCAGAACTGTGTCATATAACGATTCCTATTTCAAGGGAAGCTGGGAAATGTGTTTTAGTGAGCATATTGCTGCCCCAACAAATTGGGACTCTCTGTAAGGAAAAAGAATGGATACTGGGTAGGCAAATGGTCTGCCATACCAATTAAATAGATATATTAAGAAAGCTTAAAAAACAAATACCAAAAACCTCATTCTTTCTTTTTTTTTTTAACCAAGTTTTTAATTTTAATTCCAGTGTAGTTAACATACAGTATTATATTAGTTTCAGGTGTACAATATAGTGATTCAACAGTAGTATACATTACTCAGTATACTGAGTATCATTGTGGTAAGTGTACCACTCTTTCTCTTTTATCTGCATTTTTACTTTAAAATTATATGAAAGGAATATAAATAAAGTCCCTAAATTCCTAAAGTAGTATGAAAGGAACATAAAAATCATATAGTCCTGACATTTTAGCTTAGAGGTAATTAGTGACTTGTCTGAGGCCACAGACATCAGTTCCAGGACTGGAATTGAAGTTCCCAACTCCAACACCAGTCACTGGTCTTTCCATTTACTGTGAAGCCTCACAAAATCTGGTAGCTCACTTATTACTCTCCTATATGCACAAGACAACTGCGGTTTGGTTATACCACTGGGGAGAAAAATCCTCTGTCCCCTTCAATTATTACAATAAAAGTGATAGGAAATTTCATGTTTCTTATTTGAGGGTCTTATGTTTATTTTGTTAGTGTTGATGGCACTGCCAGTATTTATATGTTTATTGATTCATTTTTCATTTATTCATCATTAACAATAGATTATAAGGTCTCAAGAGCAGGACCATATCGATATGTATTAATATCTCTGTCCCCAACTAGGTCCTCATTGATGAATGAAAAATTATAGCCCCTTATACTAAAATTTTAAAAATAAATAAATAAAAAGTTAAAAAAAATTATAGTTCCTGTACTCAGGGAATTCTCAGTCAAGTTTGAGAGACAGACAAGAATGGCAGTGATAACAGTACAGAGATAACTCAAGAGATGATAGAAATACAAGTGAAGAGTGAGTACAAGTGAATAAATATCTGAGGCTGAAAGAAGGTCTGTAAAGATTTCAATAGGAGATGGTCCCAAGTTCAGTTTTAAAAGGGTTTTCCAGATGAAGAAAGAAGAGGGCTGCATATCAAGCCGAAGAATGAGTTTTTAGAGGCCCAGTGGGTGTGAGAAACTGTTTAGAGGAAGAGGAGAAATATGGGAAAAGCCCATAGTAATAGGAAATGAGGCTTGAGGGGTTGACTGTAGCCATGACCACATCACAGAGGCCTCATGATATGTGAAAGGGTTTGAATTTACCTAACTATTGATGGGGTGCCACGGAGGTTCAGATATGCGCTTTTGAATGGCCACCTGACATTGCAGTTAGACCTTGGCACCTTAGTGCAGAGCCCACCTACAGTGAGGCACCACTTGTCACTCACAGCTACAGATAAACAGGACAGACTAAACCATACATCAAGATCCTTGCTCCTCCCCTGCTCAGTTCTCTCCAGGATCTCCCCTTTATCAGAAACGTACTTGACCTTTCTAATCACATGCAGACTCCACATGTCCCATTTTACTTTTCTTGCCCATCATGTTGTCCTCACTGTTACCCAGCCACAGGCCCATAACAAGTGATTGTTTTTGACCTCCGCCCGATAAAGAATGGTTTACTCCTATTTGATAGTTGGTTATCCTTAGATGCCCAGGAAGCTTAGATGGTGGAATAAACCAGACACATCTTTTACCTCCAAACTGTGAGGTGAAGGGCAGTATTTCAGGAGTTTCAGACAGCAAGGAGGCAGAAAGCCAGCTCCTAAGATTTGGTTAGAGTCCTGGCACCTGGCCCACCTAGCCTTGCTTCTGGCCTATAGACTGCCTGTGTTTCTGACCCCAGCAGATGCCCTCTAGTGGCTCTCCTCCCAGTCCATTCTCCCTTCCCTGCTAAAGACTTTTTCTGTCCCACTATAGCACTTCATTCTCTCCTTGGACTCTCAGTTACGTCATTTGTTTTCTGGTGCCCAGCAGAGGATTGACTTTCCTTCTGTGACTCATCCTAGAATGGACCTAAGCCTTTGTTGGTTCTGCCTTTAGTAATGAAGTTTCTGATGGCGGAGGGTAAAGTTGGAAGTGCATCCTCTTGGTTAATACAGATAATGCACACATTTTATTATTAAAGAGCTGACTAAACCTCTCTTTGTGACTTTGGAAGTAAAACATACCATGAAAAAGCTCACCTCTTTTTTATTGCTTGTTTTTTTTCTTTCCCACTTTTTTTCTCATGCAAATATTTTTATGCAGATAGTGTTGTAACAATCAAGGAAACTAACAAAAATCTTCTCGTCTGACAGCCAATAGGCATCACTTTTTTTTTCTTTTTTACTTTTCCTTGTATTCTCTTCCAGTCTGCCCATGTGCAGCGATATTATCTAGATACAGTTTTGAAGTACAATTCTTTTTTATGCCATATGATCATAGTTCAAGGAAATTGAAGTAATGGAGATATGGGAATATCTTGGGTAATAATGGCTTCTTATTTTGATTATTTCCCTTTAGGAAAGACACTGCTGATCCTGTAACATGGAGGATTGCCTTCATACTTCATCTGAGAATCTGTCCAAATTGGTCAGCTGGGCCCACAGCCATGGGACCATTTGCAGCCTCATTCCAAACCTGAAACACTTGCTTTCGGAAGGTTCCCATGGGAACCTTACAGCAATGTGGGGCTGTAGTGCTGGCCATGCTTATCACTGGCCACTGACAGCTACTTGCAGAGCTGGGTCCCAAGAAAGGGTCTGTTTCCAGGATAACAGAAGTTTTAACTCTGATAGTCCCAGTATAATTGGAGTACCCTCTGAGACACAAACTAGCCCGGTTGAAAGATACCCTGGGAGACCAGTGAAAGCGAAGCTAGACTGTAATCGGACCAGAGACTCTTGTGACTTCTCTTACTGCAGTGAGCCCTCTGAACTGGATGAAGCTGTTGAAGAATATGAAGATGAAAACACCCTGTTTGACATGGTTTGTGAGTCTTCTGTTACAGACGAGGATAGTGACTTTGAACCCCAAACCCAAAGGCCTCAAAGCATTGCTCGAAAAAGGCCTGGAATAGTCCCATCTTCTCTCCATTCCAGCTCCCAGACTCAAATGGTTGATGAATGCAGCAATGATGTCATCATTAAAAAAATCAAACAAGAGATTCCTGAAGATTATTACATTGTGGCGAATGCAGAGCTGACTGGAGGGGTGGATGGACCAGCCCTGTCATTGACACAGATGGCAAAACCCAAGCCTCAAACTCATGCTGGTCCCTCCTGCATAGGGTCTGCTAAGCTGATTCCCCATGTGACATCTGCCATTGGCACAGAGCTAGACCCACATGGTGTAGCTGCATCCCCCTCTGTCATGTCCAGACCAATCGTCCAGAAGACTGCCAGGGTATCTCTGGCTTCACCAAACAGAGGACCCCCTGGTGCCCATGGCACCAACCATCAGGTGTCCATGCAGATGCCTGTGAGCACATCCCATCCTAACAAACAGATCAGCATCCCTTTGTCTGCCCTGCAACTGCCTGGACAGGATGACCAAGTTGCTTCGGAAGAGTTCCTGCCCCATCTGCCCAACCAGGTTTCCTCCTGTGAGGTAGCTCTTTCTCCCTCAGTTAACACAGAGCCAGAAGTGAGCTCCAGTCAGCAGCAGCCCCCAGTCGCTCCAACCATAACCACTGAGGCCACAGCACAGTGCATACCAGGTATGGCACATGAGGTGACAGAGAGTCCCTCATCCATGCACGTCCGAGAATTCTGCGCCGTCAGCACTTAAAAAACCATTGGCTCAGTTTGCTAGAATTCAGGCCTTTATTATTCTCAGAAAGATAGAAATAATGAAATATATTCTATCCAGGTGATACTCTGAAGGAAATTCATCTCAGTTAAGGCCATCCGTCCAGTCCGTGTACCTCAGGGCTGAGAGGACAGCTGTAGGATTGTGTTCTTGATATTGCATGGCTAGATTTAAGGTTTGTATCTGATCTTAAGCTGAATAATTTTTATTTTTATTATTTTTTAAATATTTATTTTAGAGAGAGCGAGTGACTAAGTGGGGGTAGGGGCAGAGCTAGAGGGAGAGTGAGAATCTCAAGCCAACTCCATGCTAAGCACGGAGCCTGATGCAGGGCTTGATCTCACAACCCTGAGATCGTGACCTGAGTCGCAATCAAGAGTTGGACACTTAACTGACTGAGCCATCCAGGCGCCGCAAGCTGAATAATTTTTGTATATTAATGTTGTCTTTGAAAAAAAATTTTTTATGCTCTCCTATCAGTATCAAGGTATTTGGTTGCTCTTTGAATCCAGAATGATACGATGTTGGGTTAGGCATATAATGACAATAGAACTGGTGCTTTTCCATTATCATTTGTTTGTCTGAACCAGCTTGGCCTTTCTATTCATTTTAGTTGCTGTGGCAGTTTAGAACAAGTATTTTTTTTTTTTTTTAAAGATTTTATTTATTTATTTGAGAGAGAGAGAATGAGAGAGAGCACATGAGAGGGGGAAGGGTCAGAGGGAGAAGCAGACTCCCCGCCGAGCAGGGAGCCCGATGTGGGACTCGATCCACAGACTCCAGGATCATGACCTGAGCCGAACGCAGTCGCTTAACCAACTGAGCCACCCAGGCGCCCTAGAACAAGTATTTTTAAAAGCTACAAATAATTCTAAAAGAAGTATTTTTTTATCTCAAAATTTAAAAGAGTCTGATAACTTGCACTCCTGGAATACATGGGCCTAACTGGAATGGACTGAGAGGAGAGGGAAATAATTGTATGAGGTCTCTATCTAATTTTGACATTCTAATGTTCTGTAATTCTAACATGCAGTATTTATTGAATCTATTTAATTGAGGCTATTACTATATAAAGAGGGTTTGGGGTGTCGTGCACTTGGGTTCATTATTCAAATCTAATGAGCCAGAAGTAGAAACGTGGACAAAGATGAACAGATATACAGAACAGAGTATATAGAAAGCAGAAATTTGTGGCACGTTTTGGTTTGTTTCATTTTAATCCTTCTCAAGGAAGTCATGTATTTTGGGAAAAGTTTCCTAGAAGCCTGCAGTACCTCTGCCTTTACCCAATTTATGATTTTACTGACACAGTCATAGTATTATTAATAAGATATACAATGAAAATATTCATATCCTGACTCAAAATTATGCTTTTCAGTTTATTCATTTTTCTTTCTTTTTAAAATAATAGCTTCACTGAGATATAATTCACATACCATAAGATACACTCTTAAAGTATACAGTTCAGTGGTTTTTGGTGTATTTACAGAGTTGTGCAACCATCACCACTATCTAATTCAAAACACTATTATCACCCCAAAAAGAAACCCATACCCATCAGCAGTCCCTTTTTACTTCCTCCCAGCCCATCAACCACTGATCTACTTTATGTTTCTATGGATTTGCCTATCCTGCACCTTTCATATAAGTGGAATCATAGCATGTGGCCTTTTGTGACTACCTTCTTGCACTTAGCATATTTTTTTTTTTACATTGTAGCATGTATCAGGATTTCTTATTGCCAAATAATATTTCACTATATGGATATACCATAGTTTGTTTTTCCTTTCACCATTGAGGTTGTTTCTATTTTTTGGCTGTCATGAATAATGCTGCTAATAACACTCGTATACAAGTTTTTGAGTGGACATATAACTTCATTTCACTTGGGCAACTACCTAGAAGTGGAATTGCTGGGTGTATGATAATTCTATGTTTAACTTTTTGAGGAGCTGCCAAACTGTTTTCCAAAGTAGTTCCACTATTTTTTTTAAGATTATTTATTTGCCAGAGAGAGAGTGTGGGAGAGAGAAAGAGCAAGAGTACAGGCAGGGGAAGCAGCAGGCAGAGGGAGAAGCAGGCTCCCTGATCAAGCAAGGAGCCCAATGTGGGACTCGATCCCAGGACCCTGGGATCATGACCTGAGCCAAAGGCAGATGCTTAACCGACTGAGCCACCCAGGAATCCCAGTAGTTCCACTGTTTTAAAATCACCAGCAGTGTAAAAAGGTTCCTGTTTCTTAACATGCTGACCAAACTTGTTTTCCATTAAAAAAAAATGATAATTTATCCTGGGTTCATGAAGTAATATCTCATTGTGGTTTTGATTTCCATTACCTTAGTGACTAATGATGTTGAACTTTTTAACAGTATGGTCTTTGGCTAATCCTGGCATAATTTAGACACATTTTTATTAGGCTGGTGAAAGTCTTTGTATTAGGTAGGAAATCTGACTCTTAGTACATACAGGATATAAATAGTGGTACCTTTTCACTTAAATAAATAGTTGTATCTGGTTTATTTGTGTGTCTCCCCCCCCCACCCCCATTTTTTTTTAAATAAAATAGGAGACTTATCCTGACAGGGTTTTCTGCATTCTCACTTACTTTATATTTGAGGGTAGAATTCAGAATTGTATTTTGCAAAGTAGTCCAGTATATCAAAACAGCCTTAGTAAGACTTGTATCACACATCCTTCCATGAACTTACCCCAGCATCCCTCTACTAACTTACCCCAGCTTAGTAATACTGTTGTATTACCCCTTCCACTAACTTACCCCAGATTTCCTTGCATCTGCCTAGTGGACAGTGAATGAAACATCGAGGTTCTTTTTCTTTCTTTCCTTTTTTCTTTTCTTTTCTTTTTTCTTTATTTTTTAAAGATTTTATTTATTTATTTGAGAGGGACAGCCAGAGAGGGAACACAAGCAGGGGGAGTAGGAGAGGGAGAAGCAGGCTTCCCACTGAGCAGGGAGCCCGATGTGGGGCTCAATCCCAGGATCCTGGGATCATGAACTAAGCCGAAGGCGGATGTCCAATGACTGAGCCACCCAGGAGCCCCTTTTCTTTTTTTTTTTAAGATTTTATTTATTTATTTGAGAGAGAGAGGGCACATGAGGGGGGGGGGGAGGGGGGAAGGGGCAGAAGGAGAGGGAGAAGCAGGATCTCCACTGATGGGACTCGATCCCAGGACCCCGGTATCATGACCTGAGCCGAAGGCAGACACTTAACTGACTGAGCCACCCAGGTGTCCCTCGAGGCTCTTTACAAAACAAAATATGAATATCTCATTATATAATTGTTTTGGAAAAGAAATTCAGCCTATTTGAAAAAGAAATATTTTAAACTATTCATTTTTGTATAGATTACATTCTCAGGTTTTTCTCTTCTCTTAATGAAATTGCACTTTTTTTTTTAATTGCACTTTTTATAATAGCTATAAAAAGCAGGTATGGCCAAGTACGGCACATAATGAATACAATCCTAAACTGTGATTTAGCTGTACTCTTGCAAAGAGAATTGGTTTGGCTTGGAGTTGAACCTTTAAGGAAAAACAGTATGAATAACTGGTAATGGGAGTTTCCTAAGGAATCATCCTGATGTTTTGATCCATTGTTCTTTGGAAGGATATTATATTGCTAAGATATTATTAGGGTTTTTTTTTTTTAAAGATTTTATTTATTTATTTGAGAGAGAGGATGAGAGGAGAGAGAGAGAGCACATGAGAGGGGGGAGGGTCAGAGGGAGAAGCAGACTCCCCGCCGAGCAGGGAGCCCGATGCGGGACTCGATCCCGGGACTCCAGGATCATGACCTGAGCCAAAGGCAGTCACTTAACCAACTGAGCCACCCAGGCGCCCCAAGATATTATTAGTTTTAAAGAAATACTATTTTACTAGAAACATTGTCAACGTCTAGTGCGTTGGGGTCCCTGGGTAAGGATCTACGAAATCACCAGGACACAGGGGATGCAGAGCAAAGGCAGCACTTGCAACTGCATACTGCCGTTTATTTCTCACATAGCTATATACTCGCAGAGATCAGATAAACATAACAGTGTATCAAGCCAACATCTGTGAAGTGAAATATACACGAAATGCAATAAGAACAAAATACATCCTGTTTATGCTTGCAGAATAAAGAATTCTCTTAGCCATCCTTCCTTTGGAGACAACATGTTCTTTGTCTTTAGAAAGAACACTTCTGATTAGAAAGATACACTTTAAGCTAGGCAAGAGCCACTTCCTGCTGATCCAGGCATTTAGGCCTTGCAACATGAGGTAAGGGGAAGAGAACATTTTCTCCTCCTGGCCTAGGCCTGCCTGGCCGACCTTAACCTCACTGCAGTCCTCAAATGACCCTGGCCGGCAAGGGGCCTACAAGCCTACATCATCTCAATTCCTTCTTTTTTTTTTCTTTTCTTTTCTTTCTTTATTTATTTATTTATTTGAGAGAGAGAATGAGATAGAGAGAGCATGAGAGGGGGAAGGTCAGAGAGAGAAGCAGACTCCCCGCGGAGCAGGGAGCCTGATGCGGGACTCGATCCCGGGACTCCAGGATCATGACCTGAGCCGAAGGCAGTCGCTTAACCAACTGAGCCACCCAGGCGCCCCAATTCCTTCTTTTTTCTTTTGTTTTAATAAAAGTGCTCTCCAAAGGATGGCCATAGAATTCTGGGAAGGCTTTAGATAGCAAAAATGCAACAGCATAAAGCATAAGATAACAATCAACAATACAAATCCCATTCCTCCAGCAGTATGCCCCAAACTTTGAATACCACCTTTTGGATCTAGTCCCTTAAGTTGCTTAAGAAGTAAATTGGCCAACGTAGCGGCATCTGATACAGTAAGCAAGGCACACATAGCCAAAAATAAATTTTCAGGTGTATAAGCCTTCCCCGTTCGCTGCAG